TTTTTTTTTTTTTTTTTTTTTTTTTCGTTCAGGCAGATTCGTATTTTGGCAAATACGAATTGAAGGGACAGAGGCTCGATGGGAAGGGGGGAAGGGGATTGTTTTACCCACCAAATGTCATAGGAAGTACTGTATATTGGACGTTATTATCGGAAAGTAAAGAGTCGGATGACAAAACGTTGAGAATTTCTTGAATTTTTGTCGTTCGATCCTTTGAAAGTTCAATGACAGGTCAGGAAAAATATTGCACAGCAAAAGCTTCGCGAGGTCGCTTTAACTTTCAAGATCGTGGTGAATTTAGTCACGAAAGATATTTTTTTTTAGCGTTTTTACAGATGTTTGAACTTTTACAATTTTTTTTTTTTTTTTTTTAATGGAAAATTTCCGTTCGCTACTTGATGTTAAGATACCTTTGGGAAAAACTAAAAAAATTCCAAGGCAGTTAAAGTACAAGCTCTACGCTTTAAAATGAGTCCAAATAGATTGTCACACGATTTCTTTTTTCCTCTTCTTCTTTAAAGTTTCTACTTTGTTAAATGTTCATTAAAAAATTAGTTCTAATGCAAGATTGACTTTGCAAAAGAAATGTGTATCTGCCAGATTATCCTATTCTATAGATTTTATACATGCCTACACAGATACTGTAGATTCCACTGCCATCGATTATTTTTAAAATAGTATTATGATAACGCGAAAAACAGTATGCGCGAGTACGTCAGTTAAAAAAGGATTTTATTTAACTGTGTAACTTTCTGGCGGACATTATTATGAGAGACGATGCTACAGTACAAGTACCTTACACGTTAAAAGTGTAAAATCGTTCTGTTTGTGCGACATACGCGAAGAGGAAAGTTAACATTGGCCAAAGTGCGGTTTCATTCAACAAAATGAGGTAGACAAATAGACGGAAATGGAAAAACAGATTGATCCCTTTGCTTTAACACCAGGACTGAGCAAATGCCACTTGAAATTCATTCTTACTGATTTATTGTTTCTATTTGAAAGATAAAATTACACTCTGACCAAATGAGGCGAGTAAATAATTTCTTATTTCATCGGTCAATCCATTGAAGTAAAGTGGCGATGTAATCCCAATAGAAGAAAATTTATTCATAGAAAATGAGATAAGAAAGTTATTAATAAAATGAGAAATGATTTACTTGTTTAAACAAACATACCGACATCGAGGCAATACACATACATTTCATTTAAATAATGCTCAAGTCTGGCTGTAACGCCAGCAAGTGTATATCTATGATCTCACACAACAAATAATAAAAGTTACAGACCAATTACATTACATCAACAACACATGTACGAGGTGTTTCTTAGTAGCGCAGATAACCATACACACCTGAGTATAAGGTTTATGGTGTACGTCATCGCGGAGGCATTATCGATAAACGTGTGATTGACAATTACAGTGTTCTCGTAGCAGGAACACTCCTGTCGTTGGATTATCAGTAAAGGGATGCCTTCGTTCGCTCTGTATAATATCTTATCTGTGTTAAAACCGATAATGCTCGTAAACGAAAAACATCGATGCGGTCTGCGTTCGACTGCGAATCGAAATTAGTATCGCACGGAACGGCAAGTCGTATCGTTCGAAATCACACATCGCTGATCCCTCAGAAACCACTTCTCGGCCAATAAACACGGAACACCGGCTTCTCGCGATGGCGCGAAAATACAGACGAACGATCGGCTACAAAATACTCTGTATGATCGTCGTCCCGACAATGTACTTGATTTTCGTTAATACGTTAGCAATGTTTCTGTCGAACAATGCAGCAAGCGCAGCGAGTAGCGCTACGGATACGCGTAAGTCTCGTTTTTCTCTCAATTCCTCCCTCTCCCCCCCCCCTCCCCCTTCACCCCTTCAACCCGCTATTTTCAACTTCTTTACCCATTTTTTCTTTCTTTCTTTCTTTTTGTACATGTGATTCCTTGCCAAGGAACTTGTATCGCGTATTGCGTAAAGAAACGTAAAGTCACGACGTTTTTGTTTTGTTTTGTTGTGTGAGCATTTCTCTGCCAGTGGCGGCACGAACGATCAGTCGCATCCTCTTAAGGAGTAAACGAACAACTAATAACGAGCGATAAGTAACAAAGGGGCAATTAGACATTCGACGAATAGAATGTCGTGTACGCGGATGCATGCGGCTACGCCGAGCGAGAAAACATGGACGAGATAACTAAAATTTAGAATGAACCATTACGTAATACGTTCGTTCTATCGATATCATCTATAATCTACGCGATAGCTTACTTTATATACGTATATGAAAGATTTTCACTTTACCTACCGCGTTACGTTTCATTTCTGTACGCAATGCGATATTTTAGATTTCGTT